AAACAAATTGTGGTACAACCATAAATGGAATACTACTCAGCGATAAAAAGGAATAAGCTACTGATTTACATAAGAACATTGAAAAATCTCAAAAAATTTATACTGGGTTGAGCAAAGCCAAACAAAAAGGATGACATGGTATATGATTCCATTTATATAAAACTAGAAAATGCAAACTAATATTATATATAGCAAGAGAAGGTAGACAAATGACTGCCTGGGAAGAGTGAATAAAGAGACAGGTATACAAATTGACACAAAATGCATATAGTTTATTTTATGTCAATTATACTTGAATAAAGCTGTTTTAAAAAGACAAGCAAATATAAAACTATTAAAATATCGGGCAGCTGAATAAAAAGTTGATCCACCTTCATATATACATTTTTGCAGGGTTAAAAAAATGCTATTTATTATAGTTGATTATACATTATTAAGGATAGGTTTCTCTCCAACTCTCAGTCAGAATGACCTTGCTATGCTATAACCTCTTTCTCCACAGCGCATCTCAGATTTCACAACCCACTTGTCAAAGTTCTATGAGACAGTGAACACGAGAGAAAAGAAGGAGGGGAAGGAGAGAGAGGGGGAACACATGCAAGAAAAAGAATGAGAAATTTCAAAAATGCTTCCATAGGGTAATAAAGCATGTTTATATCATACAGCTAACAAGATCCTTAACAGTGAAAAAAATTAGTGTATCATGTTATGCAGAGAAGGTTGTGTGCACTTTTACCATTATTACTAAACATTTTCCTGGATATTCCAGTTCATGTAATATAGAAATAAGACATAAATTATCGCCACTTGAAATATTTGTGAATATTTATCCAAAAGATCCTAAAGAATTAAATGTTTTTTAAAAGATAAGGCACAAATTACCATGTCAGCAATAGAAAAGTAGACTAAGGATCTTACAGAAGGTAAAAAGAATCTAAGAGGTTATTCTGAACACGTTTATTCCAATTAATTTGAAATTTTAGATAAAACAGATAGAATTCCTAGAAATATACAAATGACTAAAACTAACAGAAAAAAACTGAAAATCAAATAGAAAACCTGAATTGTTTCAGAACTAAATAACCCCCAAAAAGTCAAGAAATATAAAGTTCTGGAACTGTATTACCAATCTTACACAAATTCTTCCAGAGAACAGAAGAAAGCAGAACTCTCCAATTTGTTTTATAAGGCCAACCAAAGCACATTATACAAAAGTAAGCCAACATGTTAAATCTCACTGATAAGCATAATTACTGATTTAAGGCTCGATTCATTTATTTCTGCATTAACAAATATTTATTGATCACCTCCTAAAGGACTATTTCAGATTCAAAGATGCACAGCTGTAGTCTCTGTCTAGAAAGACTTAAATCTAGTTAGAAAAATGGTGAGAAAGGATGCTCAAATATCCGAAGAAACAAGGTCTACAAAATTCTGCCCATACCATGCCTAAGAACAACACAACAGCAACAAGCCTTTGTCATGACAAAGGCTGGGCTTAAAGATGATGAATTAACTAAAGATTTGCATAACTCTAAATAGGAAATATAAATGTTCCTACCATAAATGCATGACATATTTGCTCTTATAAACGGCAACATATCGACTGCTTATAAATGCTTTTGCTTTCTCCCCTTATCTGCTATAATTTACTTACAGAGTTTGACTACGCCAGTGTCCCAGTACTATTTTATTTTTATTGACATGATCATACTGGTTCCTAACAGTGTTAAGGAAAAACTGAAAAATGATCATTACAATTTTTTCCCCTAATGTCCCTAAGTCCTTTCACTCTTTACAAACAAAACATACCTAGTCATTTTAGCCTTTTTGTAAACAGAAGCTACCCCTCAGTATTATTTCCATTTTGCCTATATAATAATCTTGTTCTCAAAAATCAACATTAACCTTCACAGGGTCCCCTCTGAAACAGTCTAAGGAAAATGAACTCAAGAGACATCAAATGTCACAAGAGAGACACTGATTCTTTGAGGCCCCATCAGTGCCCTTAACTGGTCTCCAAGTACTGGCTTCTTGGAGTCCATAAACAGTCTGAAATGTATGTCTTTGCAACAAATCCTTAATTCTCATCAAATGCCGAAGGGTAAATAACTCCATTAAGGACTTGTCCTTCATCTGGCTGTGAAGGGTAAGTGAACGGGCAAATCTACATTCAATGATATACAAATAATTCTGATAAAACATTTGAAAGTGTGTGTGTGCATGCACATTTAGGGAGGGCTAGAGCAAAGAGAGGATGATAAAACAAGAGCTTATTGATACACACCTCCCTATTCTAGAGGGAAATGATTTCAGAGTTGACACCCTATTTTTCAGATCATTAACATCTTTTGTCAGTATCTTTTTCAGGTCAATACATCTCTTTGCCAAACAAGGTAGAAAAAAGTTGTCAGCTGATTCCCTGTACATGGGCAGTCTTCCCTGTGACTGTTAGCAGCATCTGAAAACCACTGAGTGTCACTGGAACCGAGCAATAAGGAAATTCCAACACATTAAAAAGAAATAAATTCATGGGGACTGTAGGAGAGGCACCTGGAAGTGATATTAGACAGAAACTGCAATTGGGAAAAATGCATAATTTGAGGGTACTGGCATATGACATGAACATATATGATTAAAAGCATTCACTGCTTTCCCAGCTTCCACACACTCAGAAAAGCACTGCCACCTGCCCATGCTAGTTATCTCACTAACTACAGCACACACCAAGAAAACTTTCTCAGTATTCACTGCAGTTTATCAATACCGACCTACACACTCTCAGAAACAAGGAAAGACTGGGCAGGAATCTACTTGTGCCCAAAATTAGCAGATTAGCACCAGGATACAAAGGAGAAGAAACTGGGTAATAAATTAAGTCTAGATTTCTTTGAGTAAACATCTCTCAAAAGATCCTGCTCTAAGCACATAAAATAAGCAACTTTAATTTTTAGGTAGGGGTCTAGTTCCTGTCTAGATTAAGAAATGAGAGAGAACAAATTCTTTTATCACAGTCAGGGGATCACCTACAGATTGTGACCATTCAATTTATACATGCAAAAAATACTGACAAGTAATAACAATAAAGGATAATAAGTAAGGGCTTACTAGGTGCCAGGTTGTAGCAACCCTCACAATTCCATAAGGTAAATACTCTTTTTAATTAGAAGGTATGCAACTTACCCAAAGTTGCACCGGTAATGAAGGTGGAAACTGGGATTCCAAGCATGCTCACCTAATCACTATGCTAACAATGCTTCAACCTGCCAGTTTATTTTTTATTCTGTAAGACATAGGGAGCCAATGAAAAAAAATCAAGGACAGCAGTAATGATCATTTTCATGTTAGATCACATTAGTCAGCAATGCAGAAGGGTAAGCAAGAGTCTCAAAAGAGACAGTCAAAGTCTAGGTCGAAAATGCTGAGGAAATGAACCATAGGAATGCAAAGGATAGGATAAAAACCTAAAATCTGTACCTGGTAAACTTAGCTGGACTTTCTGGTTGTTATAGATATGGGAAGGGATGAAGGAAGCTACCTCTCCAATTACTAGCTTGCCACTGGTTAGTAATTACTGTCCATCAATTTAAGGAAGACAGAAGAAGGAGGTGGTGGTTTAGTTTTGTTTAGGGGGCAGGAAGAGGACAAGTCTACCTAATGAGAGAAACCAATTCTATACAACTTCTCTCCCCTTGACAAGATATACTTCCTCCATTACAGAGATTTTATCTTAGAAATGAGGGGCCCCTAATGCTTTTTCAAAAATAAGGAGTCATTTGGGCTGGGAGGGGTCTTCAGTATTACTAAGTGCTCATTTCACAGTTTAAGCACTGAGTGGCAAGGGTGTGTCAATACCCTGCCCGTAGTGGGCATTGTTCCGGTAGAACCAGGACTAGAAACTAGCTCTGCTGCCTCCATATTACTTACTGCTGCTTCTACTTCACACGCCTTCCCAATTCTACTAATGCGGATTCACATCTCCAAATACGCACATTTAATGCATATTTGCATTAAAGCAAAACCAGATATGTAAGCTAAAAACCTAAAGCTCTGATCGCATATATTTCTCATAAAATTTACATTTATCTCTGGAAAAACTTTTCCATGGTGTCAGTTTCTATTCACTGTAACATTTTCTATATTCCAGGTCCTAAATAGACCCCAACGAATCCTTAAGTTTAGGCCTTGAAGAAACGACAGACCCTCTATGCTTAGTATTCCACCATTTGAAACCAAAGCACTACCGGCAAGGCCTGTTCTGCCGAATCCAGGCCAGTTATGTCAGGGCTTCCCTGTACTGCTGTCAGAAACCATTTCAATTTCAAGTAAAACTGGAGAAAGAGACCAGCCTGAACTTGCTCCTCAGCCGGTCCTGGGATCGGTGGCTTCTCCTGAAACTGCTCCCCATTGGCGCGACAGCTCCTCGGACGCCTGGAGAACGCGGAAGCGGCAGGAAGGCGCTGCCCGACCTTCACTGCCAACTTCCCAGCCCACTATTTGGAAGTGTAGCACCGAATCTGGTTCAAAAGACTCCCTACCGGTAGTCTGAGTAGCCTTGGGCAGAAACTGCGCCATGAAAACTGTATCAACTGTCACAGAGATGGAGAACTGTGAAGTAACCAAATTACTGCTTATATTCACCGTATACAGTCATACGTATGGCGCCTTTTGAAACAATAACCAAATCACCTGAAGTTTTGTCTAGCGGTGTGGAGTCGCTAGGAAAGCCTGTATTAGTGACACATCAGGCTCACCCAGAAAAGGACTGGCTTCCCGAGAGCCGGAGTCCCCTGCCGGGCGCAAGGGGTTCGCGGGCCCCAGACGCAACCCCACCCAGCCTCCCCGGGACTCAGGCGGTCCGACGCCGCGGCCCCGCTCACCCAGCTGCCGCTGCCCGCGGCCTGCGCGCCCGCGCGCTTCTCCGGCATGGCTCCCGCCTCGGACTCCGACACCGCCTTCTCCTCCGGCTCCCTCGGCAGCTGCACGTTCATGCCGTGGCCATGGCCGCGCCAACTCGGGGAGCTCTGGGACGACGGCGACGCCGCAAAGGCGGCGGCGGGGCCCGCGCCTTCATGGGCTACGCGGCCCGCGGCGGCCTGCGGGTCGGGCGGCGGCGCCAGCTGCGGCGCAGAGGGCTGAGGGGGTGGCCGAGGCTGAAGCCGCGGAGGAGGCAGGGAGAGGACCGCAGCTCCAGCAGCCGGCAGCCCTGCGGACGGGACCGACACGGGCTCTTCCGGCTGCCGGCAGCAGCGTCAGTGGCGGGCCGGGCGGTCAGGAGGCCGCGCCTCGCCCCGCCCGGCTTCCCCAAAGGCCGGCGCCGGGTTGGAGGCCCCGCCCCACGCCTCAGCTCCCGCCTCAAGCTCCGATCCCTCGCCGCGGTCGCCTCCGACCACGCCGGGCCCACTTCAGTCCCCGCCTCCACCTCGCGGCTGCCGCCTTGGCTTCCGAACTTCGCGGCGCTCCGGAAATACGTCGGCTCCCAGAGCCTCCAGGCTCTATTTTCTTTTCTCGGAGACTGAGAGCCAAGTGGAGCCGAACTGAGCTCTGGGTAGCGAGCGGTTAGGAGTAGTTATTCTGGGATTTTGTAGTGACTACAGCTCTGGTCTTGGTCTGATGCCAACCCAGCAAATGAACGATTCTTGATGCCCTCAGCAGTTACAAAGATGTGCACGCCCTAACACAGAAGGAGAACCCCTGGGTCTGGAATCCTGAACTGGGAAAGTGGCATATGCTCTGTAACTGTAACACTCCGCTCCTTTCCAAAATCCAAAGAAAAAGTGACGGAGAGCTTATCTTAGCCATGGGATGCCGGATAGTCTTAGAAACACATAGGCGCCTGTTTCAGTCAAGAGCCATTTGTTCGTACCAATAGTGTGAATATGACCCTCATCTGTAAAATGAGGACAATAACCTACTTTGGATAAGGTGATGATGTACAGAAATCTTGGCTCCATAAACGGCATTATTACTAGCCCAAAAGGACCTCGTGAGATACCATATGCTGTGAAGTCCTATCAGTCCACTATTGATTTGCATATTGCACTGTTGTCCTTCCACACAGGTTGTGCACAAGAATCTCAAATAGTTATGTGCTCTGTTATAACGCATCCGCCCGAGCCTTGGACTGGTGTACAGAGTTACAGTTTATACTCATTATTCACACATTTCTTCCCAAAGCACACTGATGTCCAAAGGCCATTCCTGTAAAAACAAAGATACTGCTTTCTTGAGTTTAGGTAATCTGCCTAGACTGCCTCTTATTGCAGAGACTTTACTGCTCCTTGGCCATGGTTGAGGACTCTCGAGTCCACAGAAGGAGAGTGACTGATAGGATTTTAGAAGCCACCAGCCTTGGACTGAGAGCAGGAAATTCTCCCAACAATATCTCAAGGAGGTTGTCCCCTACCCTTGTTAACAGAAAAAAGGCCAAACTCTGTAAAATAATGTTAAAGAAATTTATTCTGAGCTCAAATTTGAGGACCATGACCTGGAGCTACGCCCAAGAAGGCTTCAGCAAGTGGACTCGCTGTGGCTGGATTATAGTTTGGTTTTATACATTTCAAGGAGAAGGTAAAGTCATAAATCAATATGGAAGGCATACATTGGTTTGGCCCGAAAAGGTGGGCCATCTCCAAGGTGGGGGGAGCAGGCTTACAGGTTCTAGGTGGATTTAAAAATTCTTTGACTTGTAATTGGTTAAAGACAGGAAGCTTTGTATAAAGGCTTGAAATGTTTTAAGATAAGGAGCTCTTAATTAGAGACAAACCACTCAACATATATTTATTATGTAAATTGAGGACCTGCAGGTTTGTCTTGCATACCCTTAGGCCTGTTAATGAGTTACAAAGGATGTCTCCAAGAAGGGAGGAAGGCGTGATGAGGCATGTTGGACCTCCCTCCTGGTGACAGGCAATTTAGTTTTAGGATATTCCCTTGGCCAAGAGGGGGTCCATTCAGTCAGCTGGTGGGGGGTGAGCCTTAAGATTTTATTTTAGTTCACATCCTTTACTTAAATATAGCCAGAGAAGAAATGTTAAACAGACCCACTGTACTTAAGGGTAGCTGTCATTTTTTGGAATTACAGTATATCCTTTTAATGAGCCAAAGACTTCCTAGGAATTTCAGCCATGCTTTGATTCTGGTTCTGCCTTTCCTGACTTTACAAAAATGTCTAATTCCACTTGTTTAAAATGCCAAGGTGAACCTGTCATCTTCTCTGATTATCCTCCAAACACATGCCAGTTCGTGTGAATTCCAGTTAAAATGCAGTGCAAAAAATATAACACTAAATATTTGATGATGGTACTATGAGGTCTGGTCCCTTGATTTAGAATCATAAAAGTAATTTTTAAGAGGATGTTTATTGCATTATGTTGACAACTATACCATAGGAATTAAATAGACCTTTACCCTTACCTTCTAATTAATTATGCACTAATTGTAGTCAAAGACATGGGATTCCACATAATTTAATTCAACATCTTAGGCTCTAGGAAAGTAATGGCACTCACTGAAGATATGTGTGTTACCTTGTTTCATCCAGGGGTAGTTTAGATCTATCCATCGTCTGAATTCATGTTATTAATGAAAAGAAGTAGAGCCCCCTGGTGGGAAATAACTTCATGTTAAAAAATAAAATTAAAATGTTTTATTTGTTGCCAGACTTCCTCAAGTTTTTGTACAATTTTCCAACAAAAGAAGAATATCATAAGCATTATTTCCCAAACCTACTTGAACAGAACAGTTTTTATTCTTGAAACATTAATTAATATCTTGCAGAATGTGTAGGATACAGTTTGGAAAGTCTTGCCTTTTTATATTTATTGAATTTGAAAGCATTTACTACTGAAGCATATAGTATTATTTACTATAAAACAATAATCTATTTTGATCTTTTTAAAAACATTAATAGAGAAGAATGAAAGTATTTCTATCTACAGTGGTTGTAGAACTAAGAATAATTTTCATATAGATTTCTGAAATGTCTGATTTTGCTATGAATATATAATAATGTACTTTTATAATTAGAAAAAGAAAATAAATAATTTTCCAGCTTATAAAAGATGTTGAAAAACATAACAAATTATATACTTTGTGTTTCCTATTATTACATGGCAAATTACAACAAGTTTAGTGGTTTAGATCAACACAATGTATCACCTCGGTATTGGTAGGTCAAGAGTCTCACACAATTTCACTTGCATTCTCTGCTGAGGGTCTCATGAGACTGAAATTCAGGTGTCTGCTGACTACATATTCATCTGGAGACTTGATTAAGTACAGATCCACTTCAAAGCTCCCTCAATCTACTGCCAGAATTCACTTCCTTATGGTCCTATGACTCAGGTCCCCATATTCTTGCTGCCTGTCAGCCACAGCTTTCACTTCCTACAGGACACACTGAGGTCCTTGGCACATGGTTCTCTCCACAACATGGCAGTTTGCTACTTCAAATGTCTGTCTGACATTTCACCTTTTATTAAAGGGCTCCCCTGATTAGGTCAGGCCCATCCAGGATAACCTCCCTTTTGATTAAGTCAGAGTCAACTGATTAGAAGCCTAATCACAGAAGTGATATCCCATCAGATTCACTGGTCTTGCCACACCCAAGTGTAGAGGATTATACAGGGCATGTACACTAGAGTGTGTGTTCGTGTGTGTGTGTGTGTGTGTGTGTGTGTGTGTTAAACAACATACAGCGTTGTTTAACCTTGGGAAACTTACTTTACCTCCCTAATCTTCACTGTTCTCATTTATATATTTGAGATATTAACGCCTAGCTTTTTAAGATTGTTGTGACGATTAATTACATAAAACATATCACATAATTATATTTACATAGTTATTAAATATTTACTATCTTTATAAAGCCAATAGTAGTGATTTTATGTATGAAAATATATGCTGCAATTACAAGCAACATAAAATGGTTCTGACGTTGAGTTCCAGTCCCTAAAGGGCACTGACCTCTTACTCAGCTATTTCCAAGTGCTGATCCTGTTAGGATTCTCTCCCTACATCCACCTCATTCACCCTGTCTGTGGATCCTCTTCTGTATTCACACACCTCATCACCTCCTTTGTATCTGAGTTTGCATTTCAATTGAACTCTCATCTTCTCTATTTGCAATTGTAGAAAGTCTTTATTGATCCATGAAACTTTATCAACTATATTTCTGTAATCCTATTTATCGATATTTCTAATTTTCGTCTTGATAGAATTAGCAGAGCTAGAACCCAAGGAAATTTTCTCTGCTTCAATGAATTTTCTGCAATTCCCTATGTAATGTTTGAACTTTCTAATCATCTAAATATCAGTTTCTCATCTATAAAATGGAGAAAGTATCTATCTTATAAGGCTATTATTATGCTTAAGTGAGATAATATAAAGCTCTTAGCAGAGTATGCCCCCAGTGTGTTTGCTATTATTTTTTATCTCTTCCTGGATATTCTCTCTTCCCACCTAGTAACTATGAGAAGAGTTGAATAGCATGTGAAACTCTCTCTCTCTCTTTCTCTCTCTTTCTCTCTTACAAACACACACACACACACGCACATGCACACTTTGCAGAAGTCTTTGACTTTGTTTCTTCTTTTAACGTGCTATTACATTTCCTCCTTTGTTGAAATAGTCTTGAGTTTTGCTATTTGTTTCATTACCTATGTGTGAGTGGTCTACATTTGGTCACATGCTTAAATTTAAGCAGAAACAAGAACAAGAGGAAACCTTTTTATTAAGATGAGGTTCTCTCCAGTGGCACATGTACAAATCTCAAAGTTCTAATACTGTCCCATTCTTTAAACTAGTGGTTCTCAACCAGGGGTGATTTTGCTTCCCAGGAGGCACTTGACAATATCTGAACTTTTTTTTTTTATTATCATGACCTGCAAGGGGTGTGAGCATGGTGGGGGGCAGGGCAGGATGCTGCTAAACACCCTTCAGTGCACAGGATAGTTCCCCATAGCAAAGAATTATCTGCTCGAAAATGTTAGTAGTGCCAAGGTTGAGAAGCCCTTCTTTATAAAGAAATTTGTACAGTGTAATGCAATCAGTATATTGTTTTAGAAATAAAATATATGTGTTGTCTTATAAGTCATGATATGTGTATGCAATAGAATGCCATACAGCAATGAAAATAAGTGAACTAAAACTATTTGCAACAACATGGCTAAATCTCAAAAAGAAAATGCTGAGCAAGAGAAGCAAAACATAAAAGAATATAGACAATGATTTGCCTTTTACAAGACAATCAAAACTAGGAAAAATTAATTTCTGGTGTTAGATGTCAACATAATCACTATCCTAAAGGTCTCTTGAGGGCTGATGATGTTGTTTCTGGATATGGGTGCTACTTACACAGATGTATACATTTGGTGAAAATTCATCAGATGTATGCTTACAATTTGTCTACTTTTTTCAATGAATGTTTTATTCCAACAAATAGTTGTCAAAACACAAAGGAAAATATATGCATTATATCATGCTTTTTGATTATCATGGTTATATCACTTATGAGCTAGGATATCATTTTCTAATTCTTAGGTCTATAAAATAGAAATTTTTTTTTTTTTTTTGAGACAGAGTCTCACTGTGTTGCCCGGGCTAGAGTGCCGTGGCGTCAGCCTAGCTCACAGCAACCTCTCTGTTCATGATAAAAACTCTCAACAAAATAGCTATAGGAAGAACTTACCTCAATACAATAAATGTCATATGGGGCATTACAAAATAAAATAGAAATTTTTTTTTTTTTTTTGGAGAAAGGATCTCACTGTGTTGCCCAGGCTGGAGTGAATGACACAATCAATCACAGCTCACTGTAACCTCAAACTCCTGGGCTCAAGCCATCCTCCCACTTCAGCCTCCCAAGTAGCTAGGACTACAAGTGC